AGAAACATTAAAGAAGCAGCAAAAGTCTTTTTTTTTGCAGCAAAAGAAAAACAAGACTCAGCCGCATCTTTAACTTCTTTAAGAGTTTCTGAAAATGAAGCTTAAAGACAGAGAAGCCTTCATTAGGATCACGAGGTACGTTTGTTATTTAACTCCTATAATCAGATATAAGCTGAAATGAATTTCATCTCCTCTGCGTCAGCTCTGTTCCAGGGTTGTATCGGTTCTTTTACGCGTATGTTCTGAGGTGCAGACCTTTTAGTTAGTTTAACCGTTACTGTGCATACTAGATGACATTTCCCAGGTCCCCTGTTAGGGCTCACACGAACATTTTTATTTGTTGTCTTTTAATCATATATTTATATGTATTTATTTTTCTGACATATTTTCAGAATGTATATGTGAGTATAGGCTACACGCTGCCAACTCAATAAAAAGTTGCTCACAAAGAAACAAAGAATCCGAGGTTTGTTGATGAGACATAACTCAAGTTTCTGTTTGAACTTTAATGTGACAGAAAAAAAAACTGCTCCTTTAAAAACATCCAACTTGAAGTGTTGGATCCAATCCTCCCTCTCCTCACTCAGCCTTCTTCCTCCTCTCACCCCCCCCCCCCTCCCTCACCCCCTCCGGGTGTTTCTCAGCCGCTCGTCTCCTTTCAGACTCCAGGTCAGCTGGAAAGCCTCCTCTCTGACTGAATGGACTTTGTGTTGGTTGCTAGGAGAGACTTCATCGGGCTTCAACATGGTGACAAGGCCCTCACTGTCTCACAGACCCCCCCAAACAGCCCTGAAGGATCGAGGGGGGGGGGGGGGGGCATCTAGAGGTGTTGTTTACTGCAGGATGAAGGTCGATCTGACCAAAACTGATCCCAAACTCTTCACTATTAATATCAGATTTATATATCTCTCATGTCTGTTTGTCCCAATTCTAAACATCATAGAGAGCTGTCTCCCCCCCCCCTCCTCTCTAGAGTGGATGCTCACTCAGGTCACCATGTGGTGGACTCTGAAGCTTCAGTGTTTATCCAGCTCTGCATGGGTCTGTAAACCTTTCTGTGTTCTAACCTCTCTCCATTTTTCAAAAGCATCTCCAATATTGATCCTAGTTTGAGCACGTTTCTGCTCGTGGAGCTTATTAGAAACATGCAGAGGCTTTTTAGGTCGGGTACAATCACTTCTATCTGAACCACTTCTCTTGACCGCTTCCATCACTGCAACACCTGTTGACCTGATAACTGCTCTCATATCTGACAAACTGAGGGGCGTCCAAAACGGCCGTGTGGGGGCGTGTCTTAAAAGTGCCTACCTTCTCTGGTCCAAACAAATCCAGAGATCAAGTAATTATAATCAAATCAAATTTAAAAATCGATCACATTTACAACTCAAACTGTTTTTGCATCTTTTAAAAAATAGACTTAATCTCAATTCAGAGGCCAATGTGTCAAAAGTTATTCAAACAACATAAACGTCTCAGAGTGGAGAGTTCAGACCGATCTGACGATATTTCATGAAAGAAAGTGTGATTCAGTCATTTCAAACACCCCCTGTGCTCGGTTAACTCTGTGGGACTGTGGGAGGATTTAACCTTTGACCTTCAGGTAGGACGTCTCAGGTTGAATCATTTCAGGCTGCAGGATCAGAGCTGAGCTGAGGACAGTCTGCCCTCTGCTGGACAGTCAGCAACATTACACCTCTAACACCACACAGGCCTCTGAAGGAAAACACAGCAACCAAACACTCTCAACATATTTATTAACTTCTCTCAGAAGAAGAAATAACATACATGTGATGTTGAAGACAGAGTGTCTCTAAACATAATAAGACTTCAGAGGAGTCTGAAGCCCTCCGATTAGAAAGGCAGCATGCAGAGTTAAAGTCTTGGCATTGCTCTTACATTTCTTCAGCCAGCAGCCAGAAAAAGCTTCAAAGTCAGACAATATCACAGACGTTTAAATGCTGGCAGCCATGTTGTTGTTGTTGTTGTTGTTGTTGTTGTTGTTGTTGAGGCTTTCTCCTTCAAAATAAAAGACAGACTTCTCCTAAAGTGAAGCTGCTCCATTGTCCCTTCTGGGCCTCCGTACATGTGTGGTGGTGACTGTGTCTGCAGAGACTCTGTCCTCTCACTGGATTTTACTCTTCTGCTTTGTGACGGTTGACTCGGGACGTTTGTGGGCGGAGCTGGTGTGTTTCCTCCAGCCAATGAGAGCGCAGCAGGTGAGTTTAAGAGTGAATATGACGGACGTGGACGTAGCAGCAAGAGAAAATATAATGAGAGTGAGGAGAAACACCAAGTGGATAAAGATCGTTCTGAGACGAGGGTGAACCTTGTGTTGTCTTTACCCGTGGACGTGGAGTTGATCTACTTCCTGTTGGACAGGAAGGGGACACAGAAAGTCTAGGTTTTCTTTTTTTTTAAATCACACTAAATGAGAATAGATGATCTAGTGGTTAGTTTCACGCCTGATGTACGGGGTCAAAAGTCCTCCAAGTGGGTTCAAGTCCAACCTGTGGCTCCTCCTCTTTCTGTCCCTGATTTCCTCCTCTATCCACCGTCCTATCAGCTGGGGGGTGGAAGTAACAATCTTCTCAGCCTCGGGGCACTGATTGCCGGGCAGTTTAGTGGGGTCAGATGTACAGAAGTTATAGTCCTTCAAATGGGCAGCCGCGGGTTCAAGTCTGACCTAAGGCTTGGCATCCCCCAATTTCCACCCCAAAACTGTCCTTTACCACAAATTAGAATTAACCAATAGAAACGCTCGGCTGAAACTGAGGCTGAAAATATCTGACCTCTGAAATCAGAGACCAACGATGATAATCTGCTGTTATCTCTGTAAATGTGAGGGAGCACACACACACACACACACACACACACACACACACACACACACACACACACACACACACACACACACACACTTGCTTGTGTATTTTTAGCTGCAGGATTTCCTCTGATCGTCTTAACCTCCCTCTCTGGTTCAAGCTGGTTTTAACCCACTGATGATCCGCATCAACACCACAAACACACAGACCTGCTTCACGTCAACGTGCTGAGTGTTTGTGGTGATGGTCGGGCTGATCCCGGATCAGTCAGCGTGACGCAGATCGTCAATATTCACGGCCTCACGATCATCATCATCTTCTTCTTCTTCTTCTGGTTAATGAGCAGCGTTACGCAACCGCAAGCTGAGAATACTTGGCCGCTATTTCCTCTCAGTTCTGATCCAGTTACTCACACATGAGTTCACACACTGTTCACACCAGACCTGCTGACAGGATCTGCGCTCTGATTGGTCGAGAGCAGGCCAACGCTCTTACTGAGAGGCTCTAACTGTGCAGTCTGTGGTATTCAAACACAATATGACATTGACTCCTCCTCCCTTTGTTTGACTCTTTAGGGAACATCTCCCACCTTCCTTTTATCTGCAGCCACAAAGAAAAGTGATGTGTCGATATTAAGACGATAACCAACCGTTTTTAAGGTTTGCATGTTTGCAGATATGTTCTGCTATGTTTACTCTTTAAGATTTCCCTGCACACAACAGGAGCCTGCTGACAGTTTTAACATCTCATCGCTCGTCTACAGATGGTCAAGTCTTTGAAAGCACAACCAGAGCCCGACCTACACGTGGGCCAGGAGGAGCAGAATCATTCATTTCTATCTGCAGCAACAACCTTACTTTGACTCTGAGTGACTCGATTCGATTGACCCGTCTCAACTTAACTCGACCTCAGACGACCTGACCGACTCCTCCATAACTGACGCGACCTGATGCAGATCCACTGACTCAGCCTGACTTGGCTGGACTCCCGGTGCTGAGTGGGAGCTTGACTAATGTGTTGAGGTGCTATTTTTACAGTTTATTTAAAAAGAATACAAAACTACCAAACTATGTGAGGGGGATTCACCGGGGCGTGATGGGGCTATAGCGCCCCCTAGCCCCGTTTGGCTCCATGCTTTGCTGGACTGAGTTACTGTTGAACTGACTCGACCCGGCCCTTACTCAAACTGACCCATCATGACCTGACTCAACTCGACTTGACTCAGCTGATCTTGAACTCATCCCGACTGGACTCAGAATCCGACTCAGCTTGAACCTGAAGTCTCTGAACTTGAACCATCTGACTCGGCTCCACCCGATACGACTGGACTGGACTTAACTTGACCCGACTATACCTGACTCGACTTGGCCAAGACATCCACCCACCAACACATTCACTGGCAGACAAATTAAACACTCTGAACGAGCCGACTAGCAGGAACAGATAGCAGGAGAATAAAACTGGAATTTCTCTGACTGAAAAAGATCGAGCACCGACTCCTTGGACGGCCAGAGAAAGAGCCACAAACCACACAGAAAGGCAGATCATCAGTCCAGTTTAAGGATGAATACCTTACAATTAAAAAGAAAAAACATTACTACATTGGTATGTGAAGAAAACTACGAGCAGCCTTCTGCAAAAAAGTCCAATACTTGGTTTTTACATAAGTCCCGCCTCTGACAGGGCAAATAGCCAATCACAGCCAGGATGTTTAGGTGGCACTTGGGGTGGCCAAACAGATTTCCAGGGGGGCCCATGCCACCCCTTCTGCACCCCTGATCATCCTTCATAAGTTACATAAAGTTGACCGATCACAGCTGATGATGTGATTTTAAAAAACCTGCAGCTGTTGAAGTATAAATACAGTTTCAGCTATTGGTGAGAATAACTCAACATCAAAAATAGACCTATGACTCAATCTGACCGAGACATTACAGCCACATGACCCCGTCTGATACCTCCTACAACCATGCAGTCAGCTGTCCGTCACCATGGCAACAAATACACCCCAACACGCCCAGTACAACAGGTGTGCCGCGCCCCTCAGCTCAAATATTTGTCGCCTTTCTCGGGTTGAGCAGAAACTCTTGAGTGTGTTTGCAGATCGACATTCCTCTGAGCGCACACATCCTGACCTGGTACCAACGTGTGTTTACTCAAGAACTCGACTTTTATACA